ACTACTTCTCCTTCTTGGGCTTGGGATAAAGCTTCAATCCTACGTTGTAATAGCTCAAAGCTTCGTTTATCCTCAGCCCTTGCATTGGAAAGGTCTTTTATAACTTTAACCAGCTCATCATGGCTCCTTTTATATTCAGCCCTTCCTTGTTCCACAGTGGAAATAAGTTTTCTAACTTTTTCTCCTAATTTCTTATGAGAATCCACACTACTCTCATTGATTTTTATGTCGTGTCTCCGGACACTATCTAATGCCTCTACTATTGCCTGTTTTAGCGAAGGAACCGATAATTCGCTAACCTTTCCCGCAATCTTCCCCACCGATTCGTCTGATAACATAGGCGAGCTCAAGGGTTCCTCTTCGTCTGTCGCTGGATCAAGTTCGTCGATAACACTGAAATAGTCATTCATCGTTTTAATGCATTAGTATAATCCACGGTTAAACCCTTGAATAGCGTAAATAACAGTTTTTTCCTGGGTATACCTCTTATTTTATATGTTAAACATGAACGATCAAGTTCGTCGATAACACTGAAATAGTCATTCCTGGTTTTAATGCATTAGTATAATCCACGGTTAAACCATTGAATAGCGTAAATACTAGATTTTTCCCGGGTATTACTATTAGGTGATAACCTTATATTTACTCCCAATGTCAAAACATATTTCCATAAGAACACTAAATTCGGATGGATTATCACCTAGTTTTCTTGTTAATTTAGATCCCCTTCTAATTAGTACCTTGTATCTTCTATACTTTCTATGAGGATATCATCAAACTTTCCAGACTTAGCAACGCTATTGTCGTCCTCCGAGGATGATCGTTTAAGCGACCCTTCACTTCCCAGCATACCCGTAGCATCTGACGCCCTAAGAGAATTAATTCTTTGCACCCACAGTTAAGTATGCTCAGTTATTAAAACAGAATTACAAAATAATTAGAAAGAATACAAAATCGCACCTGGAAGGTGTGGGTCGTCGACCCCCCAACTCAAGGAGCGCTTTCTCGTTCAAGAGCTCCTCATATCTTTTAACTAGTTCCGGTCCGATTAGCTCCTTGCTGAATACTCCGTTAGTAGCTAGGTCGAATGCCACCTGGCTCACCTCCAGCATGACTTTGGGGGTTCGGAGCCCTGGGTTGATAACTCGTAACGTCAGCATATTTTGTGCCGCAATCTTAATGAAGGCATCATAACTAGTAGTCTTAACTTTTGGAGCCGAAAACTTGTATTCTTTCCCCACCTCGACCATGTCTTTAATCGTAGAGTACGCGTGGGTTGTATTCTTCATCCAGTACACAAACTTAGGAAACTTATCTTGATTCTGGATAATCACTAAGTACGCCATAATTGCCAACGCTCTCAGGTTAACTCAATACTGGTAATTTAGTCTAGATTCACCTTCTATAGAAAGCTTTGTGCGCCGGAAACCATTGACGGTGACATGTCTCCTTACTTGTTCATAATAAATTGTGGCATTCATGCCCTAGTTGCGAAATTCACGTAACGACGACATTCGGGTACATCATTGCCTTACTCTTAGCGCTGCCTCATCAGCTATGCGCCCCATCGCCCCCAACACGACATCCATACATCCGGTATCATATTTACTGTTCTGTCAATACAAACAAAAAGTAACTTTTGACTCCCTGCAAGGACATCCTCTCTGGATGAGTTTACTAGGTTTAAACGAACGCAATAATCCTTACAAATTATTCATGTTATAACACCCTTTGAGTACGCCATAGCATTCCCTCTAAGTGCTGCATCATCGGCAGTGCGCAACCTCGCCCCTACCGGCTCAGTTTCCTTTATTTAACCTAACGCAATACTCGAAACAACTTTCATCTGTTACCGACATATGCTTGCGTCATACCATTCACTCTAAGTGCTACATTATCGGCAGTATGCAACCTCGTCCCTAATGAACGAGTTTGTTATATTTAACGACTGTACTTGTCATTACAGATTTCATAATGCACCAACATTCTATTACGTCATTCTCTCTAAGTGTTTGCGTCATACCATTCACTCTAAGTGCTGCATCATCGGCAGTATGCAACCTCGCCCCTAATGAACGAGTTTGTTGTATTCAACGACTGTACTTGTCATTACAGAGTTCATAATGCATCAACATTCGATTACGTCATTCCCTCTAAGTGTTGCATCGTCGGCACTGTGCAACCTCGCCCGTACTGTGACCTTCCTATATTTTATAGCAAAATTATTTGTCTTTCCAAAATATCTATTGGCAACCTGCATGGACACACACTCTGGCTGAGTTAACTTTAATTAACTGAATGCATTACGCATAATGCAATTTAGATTGGTACTTGTGCAAATTAACTCAAATCTTTTGTGCAAAATTAGTTCCACAGAGTTAAAATATCCAGTCATTTAATCCCTACTGCCTCTTATACTAGTCTTGATCATAATGGCTCAAATAGCACCATAAATTATTTCATAAGGACCATTCCCGCAATAATCTAACAAAAGACTAGATACTTTTAAGAATTTATTATCTACTAAGTTATTCATATTGAACAATCTCATACTGTTCAAAACAAAACATTACCCTATGCCTTGTTCAAGACTAGATTCTTTTAAGAATTTATTATCTACTAAGTTATTCATATTGAACAATCTCATACTGTTCAAAACAAAACATTACCCTATGCCTTGTTCAAAACTATAACAAACTTATAAATATATCTACGCTTTAAAAGTAATCCACAGTGGACTATTAAGGCATTAACTTGTTAAATAAGAAATTATATTTAAAATGAATCCACACTGGACTATTAAGGCATTAACTAGTTAATTAAGAAGTTATATTTAAAATGAAATAGGAGCGTATTAAACATAGTCTGGAGTTGAAAACCAGCCCCACTACTTAGTAAACTCTGCCCGTAGTAGAAACAAGGCAGATCTCTTGAACTCTCCACAGCTCTGACCAGACTGAGTATCCGCCCGTAGTTAGAAACAAGGCAGATAACACAGACAAATGCCCGTAGTTAGAAACAAGGCAGATACTCTCAGCATCACAGACCAGACTGAGTATCCGCCCGTAGTTAGAAACAAGGCGGATAGCCCAGACAAACTGATACTCTCAGCATCACAGACCAGGCTGAGTATCCGCCCGTAGTTAGAAACAAGGCGGATAAAACAGCCGACCTGCCCGTAGTTAGAAACAAGGCAGATACTCTCAGCGTAGATCTAATACAACTTGTAATAAGTTATAAGAAATATAGATACTGGAAGTACTTTATGCGTTTTTATTAGAGTCTGACTCACATCCTCTATATTGGTGACCCCCCGACTTTGAATATACAGTTAAACGCTATCCAGTTTCGTGATTTTCTTAAACTTTGAACATTAAGTGATACATCCGAGCATCATGACGGACCAGAAAGAAACTCCAACCGAGTACATCGCCAAAGTCTCCGTCAAGCTCCTGGATTTTTGGACAGAGGACCCCGACTTGTATTTCCTTCATGCAGAGGCTGCCTTCAGAAACATCCAAATCACACAGCTACTCCAAGAGCTAATCAGCTATATAGCTAATCCCGGAGCTAATGAGCTACACAGCTACTCCAGAAGCTAATTAGCTATACAGCTACTCCTGGAGCTAATCAGCTACACTGCTACTTCCGGAGCTAATCAGCTACACTGCTACTCCCGGAACTAATCAGCTATATAGCTACTCCTGGAGCTAATGAGCTATATAGCTACTCCTGGAGCTAATGAGCTACACAGCTACTCCAGAAGCTAATTAGCTACACAGCTACTCCTGGAGCTAACAAGTTATACCTTGGCTACTCCTTGAGCTGCAAATGTAGTGGCTGTCAATCTCCTCGTCCCCCTCCAACATCTCCTCTTGCTCTGAAATATCCTCCCGCTCCACAACTGCCTCCTTCCCCTGGGGTTAAGGTGTCTGAGGTGTCGGCGGTGTCTGAGGTGTCGGGGGTGTCGGAGGTGTCAGTTTCAACAATTCCATCACCTTTCCCATTTTCTTCAGTGATTAATTTTTCAGAATTAGCTAAAGAACAACTGTCCTGCCCTGATGTACTCCGCCTAAAGGTTTCCCCCACCCTCCGCATGGCCACTGTTCCAGTTCAGGATAGTTCTCTTCTGCTCCCTACTCAATTTCAAGCACAAGATCCCCCAACCGATCTGTTCTATGAAAATCTTAAAAATTCGATGTCTGGTTTTCAACCTGTTCCGCCTCGTCATAATATTCCTGCATGGACATGTTGCTCCTCTAGCCCCCTTCTACGAGGGTCCTTTCAAGGTCTTAGCCCGCTCCCTTAAAACCTTTCAGCTCTAAGTTGGCAACCTCCCTCGTATTGAATTTTGTGAAATGACAATTTTTTTTTTAAGATCTAGATATTTATTTATGTATCGAGATTATTACAGGTTTACAAAATTTGTTATTATGGATAACATTTTTTTTGGCGATATTATCGTGTACATACAATTACAATTTGGTAAGGTCAAAATCCAGAAATTAATAGATACATTTTTTTTCGTTTTTTCATGTCTTGATTGCTGTTAAATTTATATTCAAATATTGACAGAGCAGCAGTTCAAGAGAAAAAACTACATTATATATTAGAGGATAGCATACTTTTGAGCGATTTGACAAGGAGATACTACAAACACAGTGTGTTTTCTCATAATGGAAAATGCTACAATTAACAGTGTGCATGCTTTCACATAAGCATGCACGGGAGCGAGTTTATATCAAAGAAGGTTTGTTAGCATCGTAACATGGAACATTGAACGTTCCTAGTTAAAAATGATGCTACAAAATTTAAGTTTGAGAAACAGGCATAATGATTTAGATATGAAAAATATTAAAGAAAATTCATGTTAGCTTTATTAAGAGAAACATTGACCGTTTCTCGTTAATATTTCGGCTACATGTTCTAGGATAAAAGATGGAAAATTTTAATTAAGAGATCTTATATCAAGGAAGGAACATTGACGGTTCCTTGTTAAAATCGAGACTGGATCTTTTTCATCATATCTTGTGGAGTTATGATTCCTCGGCCGTTTCTTTGCTGCGGTGAAGTTTGTCTCAGTTATCCGCAGGTTCAGGAGGCGTTCGAGTTCAATTCGTACTGAATTAGTAAAAGAAAGCATTAGTTAACTTAAAGTTTTAGGTAGGGGTAGTGCAAACCAAGTAAAAAACAATTAAAGGGGGGTGTTCGCATAAAATTGAAAAGGGGTATAGGCTTACAACGAAAAATAATCGCGTTTGATCGCTACTAATCTTACTTCTATTAGTTGCGTCTTTAAGGAGAAAAATGTTAAAAACGACTTATAATGAAGAACGTAGCGTCCATACAAATTTAGAAAGTTGCAATATACGACTCGGATTGTAAAATAATCAATTTAATTTCAAACAAATCATTCAGATATTGCAACCTTAAGTCATCAATTATTTTTCAATGCATTCGTATACTGAATTAATACTTCATAATTTTCTCTTTATT